TTTTTTTTTTTTTTAAGTTTATGCATTTATTTTTGAGAGGGGGGTAGGGGCAGAGAGAGAGAGAGAGAGAGAGAGAGAGAGAGTCCCAAGCTGTCAGCACAAGAGCCCAGTGCAGGGCTTGAACTCAGGAACCGTGAGATCATGACTTGAGCTAAAATCAAGAGTTGGACGCTCAACCGACTGAGCCACCCACGTGGTGGCCCACTGACTTCCCTGTTCTTAAGGAAAAGGAGCGTATCTGGCAAGACAAGGAAATGTTTTCTGCACCTTGCATGTCCCCACTGTCTGTGGATACTGGCCAGAGTGACCGTCTGGGGCACGATGATAAAAATAAGCTCGGGAGCGGTCAGCACTGACTCAGTGCCTGCTGACTGACGGGGGCAGCTGTCAACACTCCACAGGAACTAACTTGCCCCCGACGACGATCCTATGAGGCCGGCACTCTTACTTCAACGTACAGATGCGGAGACCGAGGCAGAGGGCAGTTACAGTACTTGCCCAAGGTCACAGTTACCAAGTCTGATGCAGAGTTCCCTCTTACAGGTGCTACACTTTACCCTTGAACCTGGATCTCCTGATGACCGCAGGCCATGCTGTCCAGATGCAGGGGCGGTGGGGGCCTCGCCCCACGTGCAGGTCATGTCGCTTTACCTCTCTCCTTTCTGTGGGGGTCCTTAAGGGTGTACAGGAGTGGGAGACGATGAAATTGCCAGACTGGACCGACTCGCAGTTCGGATGAGGGTCCATTTGAACTGCACTGTGTTGGGGTCCAATAAAATCAGGTCTATGTATTGGAAGGGGTCTGATGTGTTATCTCATTCCACTGTCCACAAACAGGAATGCATGGGACAGTCACCGGTGGGTTTTCCGGCCCTGGGGTGAGCTCCAAGCCTGCGCATCATTTTTGAAAAGGGCCATGGGTTATTCTGCTAGGCAGCCTTGGTTAGGAGTCACAGGCTGAATGACAAAGTAGAAGGTTGGGGGAGCCGGATGATGCACCAGGGCTCCCAGCAGGCCTAGGGGCCAGGACTAATCTCTGGAACCCTGGTCAGGCACTTTGCAGGTGGTGAGTGCTGCTGGGGGCTTGGGCTACAAACTGCTCACCCACTCTCTCTCTAGATCAGTTTCCTGGGACCTTCGTTGAAACACCAAGGATGAGTGTGGACCTCTGCCCCCCCGCCCAGTCCCTGATTCAGCCTCGAGGGCTACTCCTGAGAAACAGGGAAACTTCACCAATGGGAAGCTTCATAAATTCTCTGGAGCCAGGGAAACGTGCAAGGCTTAGAACCATACCCCAAACTCAGGTCTTTGGGTTGGTCTTGGGGCCAGAGTGGACCACAAGCCGACTGGCTGGTGGTCTGACCTTAGCTCATATTTCCAGAGGATCTGGGCATGGGGGTAGGGCACGTGGGCAGACTCCCAGGAGAGTCTGGAGTTCAAGGTCTAGAGTGAATGACTCTTGTTGGGCACACTGTTGCCCGAAGGGATCACTGCGCTTTGGAGTTGGAAATGAGCTCACGTGTCCTTTCAATGCCTGTTCACATGTCACCACTCTGCCAAAGAAGCTCAAGTAACGAAAACACTATCAGAAAGCCACCGCATCTCTGTGCCCGCTGTCCCTTTTAGTTTGCTGAGTGAGACCAGCTCCTCTCCAACCCAACCTGCCCATGGATGAAGACTTGGGACAACCCCATGACTCTTCCTGTCATTCTCGGGTCCTCCTGTCGATAATTAACGCGCCTGGCTCAACAAGCGGTCAAAGCTCAGGACCTAGCTGGACGTGGGGCTCTTCCCCTTTCCCAGCATGGGCCCACAGGGAGGGGTCTGCAGCGTGGGGGAGAGGGCACGCCTGGCTTCCACACTCTCTACTCACACTTACACTTCCACCCTCCCCAACTCCCTCAGCCAGGCTTTCCAAACCTCCAGGGGTGCAGGACAGGGACAGAAGTGTGTGATGGAGGAGGACGGCGCTCCACTGACTGCGTCATGCTCCCTGGGCACTCACACCGGGTGGTCATTGCCATCGGTGGCTGGAAGACTCCCTGTCGCTTCTTGCATCCCTGGACACCCTGCCCGAGGTTCCCTTGCTGTGCATGATACGCTCCCTTCTGCTTGTGACCATCTCTGCCCCGGGCTCTCGGGATATTGTTGTAGCTTCTCTGCTGGGGCTTGTCCACCCCTCCAGGTGGCTTTGTACAACGGCCATCGCCAACGACCCCATGCCAACTGCCTTTCTCTCGCTCGGTCCCCGAACGACGTTCATCAACCTCTGCTCTCCCAAGCCCCGACAGTCCCATGACATTGCCCACCCGCAGCCCCAACTCTCTTGGCTCAGACACTTCCACCAGCCCCTTCCGTCTGCATTTTCCACTTATCAGGGACCCGCCTGTCACCCGTGTCCCCCAGAGGCAGGTGTTTCCCCGGGACCACTCAGCGACACAAGCACAGGGCACACATGTCAGGCTGAGTAGGTTCTGACCCATTCACAAGGCTGGAGGTGAAGGGAAGATCCCCGGGGGGCTTACGTCTCGCTACGTCCCGTCCAGCACCCCTCTTCCAGCCCCCAGTCCCCTGCCCATTCCTACGCCCCCTGCGAGGGAAGGGGGGAGAATCAAGCAATCAGGTTTCCAGCAGAGCACTTGTAAAGCAAGCGGTTAGCGCCCCCTGTGGAACATGGGAGCTCCTGTCTGTGTCAAAGGCCGAAATTCACTTTAGGTCTGCTTGGCATGCCCTGGAAAATGCTCAGAACTGCCATTCGCACTCAGTTTCCAAACTTCCACATCCGTGATCTCTCCTACGGGTCCATTCTGCAGCAAAGGAGGGCCTTCCCACCTCCCACATTTCCCCCCAATGGACTGTGTGCTCACCATTTAGCATCCTCTTCCCAGCGGTCATCGGATTCTTCATTTACTCAGGGGACTGGCGTAATTCGAAAGCACGAAGGCATCTCTGGAGGTGCTGGGGGCATGCCAGCCTGGCTACGGGGATCAGGGCAGAGGGTCTGTCTGGAGGCGGTGGCGGTGGGGCTCACGGCTGGGAAGGCGGGTACAGTGCGCCCACCTGGTGAATGCCCGCACACCCACAGCGACACCTGTGTCCTGTTTTGATCGAGCCTCAGTTCGCCAGCAACGCGGCCGCCTGGCTCAGAATCACACGCCATTCTCGCCACCTGGCGACTCAGCAGAGGGTAGACTGCAGTGACAAAATGTAGCCTTTTCAACAAGCGATGAAAGCTGGCTTTGATGTCTGCTCAAGAGGCATCTCGAAAGCTCCCGCTACAATAGGGCAGTTTCAAGGGCTCCGTCCCAGGAGCGCAGGGCTCTCTCCCTGAACTCGGATGGCCTGTCGCCTGCGTCTGGCCAAGAACCCTCAGCAGCTGAGGGAGAAAACTGCAGAAGTTCTAAGCAAAGCGAATGCCCTGAGGGAAGGAAGAGGCACCTGAGGCACCCATAAGGGCTCTGCCCACACCCAGGTTTTCGTTGAAGTCAAAGCTTTTAGGGGATGTGATTGTAATTCAATCACGCTTTGCTTCTGAAAAGAAATTCATTTCCTCTGAACATCCACGCGGTGGCCTGGAGAACCAAAGAGTGAAGGAAGGCTCTTTGTTAACATCGGTCCTGGCTTAGGTCCTGTGTCCTGTTCCCAAGGACTGTTCCAGAAAAATGTGCATTGGTAATGTTGGTGGTGGGACTGAAAGGCTTGCTCCTGTCCGCCCCAAGCTCTGAAGGTAACCCGGGTATCTGCATTCGGATGGCGTGGGTGCTCAGCCCTCCCCCCGGAGGAGGAGCCCGGAAGGCGCAGCGGCTGGTCTGAGGGCAAAGGGGTTCCATGGAGGTTTGCCCTCTTCAGGCCCCATAAGGGGCCGGGGGGGTGGGGGGGAAGGAGGCTTCCTTGAAGCTGTGAATAAGTTCCAGTGGGCAGTGACTCTTAAGTTTTGCATACATCTGGGATATTTGCTTAAAAGAAAACTAAGATGGAGTGCTGACTGCCGGCCAGGCATCGCTGTGAAGCTTCGCGTGAGTTGCTGCTCTTACCTTTGGGAACAGCCTCTGAGAGGATGGAGGCCTGAGAAGTGCCAGGGCTGGGGCCGAACCTGTGAGCTCGGCCGCCAAGCAGGGCCCGGCAGGTGGAGGAGAGCTGGCCCGGGGCCCAGGAAAGCCACACGGAGCCCGCGCGGCAGGGATCCCTTCGGGAGGCCTTGCTCGTGGGCGCGGGGCTCTCTCTCGGTCCCCAGTGTCAGCCATGCTCTGGGACCCAGCAGAAGAGGCCCCCCTCCAGGGGACTGCATTTCTCACAACGGCCGAACCTCCTCCCCAGGAAGCCTCGGGGTGCGAGAGGGCTCACGCAGGGGACACGTCCTTGGCCCTGACCCCTGAGGTCCTTGACGTTATCCCCACTGCTGAACAGCACACATGCCATTACTGTGTAGCTGCAGGAGGCTGAACACCATCCGCCTGGCTGGCCTGGGACGATGAGGCCGGGATTATACATGGCTGGTTGGGGAATGGCTTGTCCCCCGAGGACAGTCAGTCGAGGACAGAGGAGTCAGATCGGGACAGGAGAAGGTGGGGAGAGCAGAAGGACGGGCCAGGAGTTTGCTACAGTTCATGCGCTCCAATGAGTCTCCTTATAGTAACCTTGTTAGGAGTCTTTGGGAAACCCGCCCCCCCAAAACCTAACGATCCCTTACTGAGAATCACGGCGGGGCGCTCGTTAGACGGCCGGTTAGCGATTCTCTTTCTTGTTCAGCCGGGCGCCGCGAGCTGTTTTGCATTCAGGATTTTCCCCACGAGGATCACAGCCAGCAGAATCTCCTACACCCCCTCTTTGATCTCCAGCAACTGCACAGCATAACCCTCCCTGCCCAGTGGGCTGCCTCTCCCGGCCGCCCTGACGGCGCAGCGCCCCGTGGGGGTCCCTGAAATTGTTTAATCCGCGAGACTTAGAGCGGCTGCCTGTAGAGCTGCACCCCCCCC